ACTGATTTAACTGACATGGCTCAATGCGATGAAATTGTGACAGTTGTAGTTTTACAAGGTCTTTAGTCTTCTCTGAGAAAGAGAGCTGTTATCTCACCAAACCTATAAATCTCAGACTGCACACTTTGCAGAATGCCACATTCACTACCATGGCTCTATCTGATGGAATCCTAAGTTTATTGTGCTACCAGAGTTCTTTGATAGAGAAGGACAAATGCTACAAATCCAATAGTTCTATAGCATTGAACCATGGCAGTTAATGTGATGCCAAACTGCTCTAATTTTATATTATGGATTTGCATTACTTCAGCCTTGATAAAAGATACGCTTCTTCCACCACACTTTAGAGAAGGAAACTCAGATCTTTGAAAAATTCCTTTTTTGTGCTTTAACACTCATGGAGTTTGGGAGAATATAGTTGAGAGATTGTCATTTTTAAAAAAAACCCATAGAAACAAGCTCTCTGAAAAGATTAGTTCAGCAGGTGTTGGACAAGATGTAAAGCACACTTAGTTCTATAAGAGCAGGGCTCATAGGAATGACTTGTTTGCCTGTCACTTCTGTCTCCAGCTTCTACTGCCTAAGGAAGTTGGCTCGTCTTGCCTAATAGTAGGGATGGACCTGTCATGGGCTTAACACACTTGTGAGTTTAATATATATACAGATTTCCATCCAGTTTCATTAGGATTGGACTGCATAAGCTCCAAACACAACACTCACTCTGTACTTACTTACTTACTTAGGCAATCCCTCGTTGTTCGAGTAGGATTGTCTTCCAAGATCGATGTACTGGCGGTGGGTCCGTAGGTGAATGTGGAGCCCTATTCTTGATCTGCATGATCTCCCGCAGTGAGGGCACTGGTTTCGAGGTGGACGGTGGTCCTGGTTGGAAGGGGTTGGTTTGATGCACCTTCCTCTTGGCACGTTTCTCTCTTTCGCCCTCCATTCGTGCCTCTTCAAATTCTACATCACTGCTGGTCAGAGCTAACCTCCAGCTGGAGCACTCAAGGGCCAGGGTTTCCCAGTTCTCAGGGTCTATGCCAGAGTTTTTAAGGTTGGCTTTGAGCCCATCTTTAAATCTCTTTCCTGCCCACCAACATTCTATTTTCCATTCTTGAGTTCGGAGTAGAGCAACTGCTTTGGGAAACGGTGGTCGGGCATCTGGACAACATGGCCGGTCCAGCGTTGATGGCGGAGGACCATCGCTTCAATGCTGGTGGTCTTTGCTTCTTCCAGCATGCTGACATTTGTCTGCTGGTCTTCCCAAGAAATTTGCATGATTTTTTGGAGGCAACGCTGATGGAATCATTCTAGGAATTGCATGTGACGTCTGTTGACAGTCCAAGTCTCACAGGCATATAGCAGGGTTGCGAGGACAACAGCTTTATAAACAAGCACCTTGGTATCCCTACGGATGTCCCAGTCCTCAAAGACTCTGTGCTTCATTTGGAAAAATGCTGCACTCGCAGAGCTCAGGCGGTGTTGTATTTCAGTGTATAATCATAATAACTTCAACCACCAAGTACAGATTTGTATGTAGCCAGATTGTTGTGTGTCTCCAAGCCATTTCTGACTTACAAAAATCCTAAGCAAGCCTATCATGGGTGTTTCTGGAGCTATGAGTGGGTGGCTTGCACTAGGTTACACAATGATTTCCATGGCTGAGTGGAGAATTGAATCCTGCTCTCCAGTGTTGTAGTCCAGTGCTGAAACCACTCCACCATACTGGTTCTTATTCTCTATTTGCAACCAAAGCAGTAAATATAGCGAAAGAAAATATCTTGGTTGGGAGAATGACACCAAAAACCATCAATTAAGGATTTAGCATGCTTAGGCAGAGGGTTCATATGGACTGCAAGGGAAGGTGAAATGGGGAATGAAAAAGAATATTTAGGATGAAAACATGGCTGGCAAACAATCTGGTGGGTGGATGCAGCTTTTTCCCCCCAGTATGCCACAGACTGACACTGTATTTGTGCCCAATAGGACAAGTGTTTCTTCCTTTTCTGGAAACTTGCCCAGGAACAACAGCACCCCATGACTCAAAGACCAGCAGTGGGTTCAGGGACCAATATTTTAGTGGCACTACCTCATATCACAGCATGATGCTGTAGGCTGTAGCTTCACTACCCCTTTTCTAGTTGCCTGTGAGCATATTAATATGCCATGTAAAGATATGTCAAACCGACAGTTTGACACATCTTTAACTGCCATGGCTCAAAACTATATGTTCCTGGGAGTTGTAGTTTTACAAAGCCTTTAGCCTTCTCTGTCAATTACTGTTGGTGCGTCACCAAACAACAAATCTCAGGATTTCGTAATATTGAGCCATAGTACCAAACTGCATTAATTTGACAGTATAAATTCACACATAGTTACCATTTACTCTGATTAAGTGCATCAATGACAAAGAATTCAGTTTTTCTGACCATGCATAGAGTGCTTTCCTATCTCAATTGAAGAACTATAGGCTATTCTTTACTTGGTTGGCATTACTGCCAAGGAAGCTTGGGTTGCCCCTCTTAACCTTATGATGAGGAAAGCTCCTAGTTCTGCGCATGAGTCATGGGAAAAATAGGGGAATTGAGCTTGATGATGAGAGCTCAAACTTCCTCTTATGAGTAGAAAACAAAGAACCCCTGCATTTCATTTCACAACTGCTATAAATTTGTGTTTGGACGGCTCATCTGAAAGGGAGATATTACAATGTTTGCTGGATTTTGAGTTATCATCATCAGAAGATAACTATTCTTAGAAGAAACTTGAAAGCTTCAGAGTTCAGGTAAGCCAAATCATTGTTTTTGGAGAGAAGTCAAAGGAAGCCTTGTAGTTCCTATCAGTGCTATGGTTTGGAACATCATAAAATATTGTTGCCGAGGAGGTACAACAACCAGCTTTCCTTCAACTCAGTACCTATTAGATGTTTTGAACTGTAACTCCCACTTAGAATAATAGAATCATAGAGTTGGAACCGAACTTGTGGCCATGCAGTCCAACCCCCTGCCAAGAAGCAGGAAAATCTCATTCAAAGCACCCCTGACAGATGGCCATCTGTTTACAAGCCTCCAAAGAAGCCTCCACCACAGTCCAGGGCAGAGTGTTCCACAGCTGAACAACTCTCACAGTTTGGAAGTTCTTCCTAATGTTCAGGTGGGATCTATTTCCTGTCGTTTGAAGGCATTGATCCGCGCCCTAGTCTCCAGGACAGCAGAAAACAAGTCTGCTCCCTCCTCCCTATGACTTTCCCTCATATATTTATACATGACTATCATGTCATGGGGTGAAAATTGCTGAAAGAAACATTAACAACCTCAGATATGCAGATGACACCACTCTGATGGCCGAAAGCGAGGAGGAGCTGAGGAGCCTTCTAATCAAGGTGAAAGAAGAAAGCGCAAAAGCCGGGTTGCAGCTAAACATCAAAAAAACCAAGATTATGGCAACAAGAATGATTGACAACTGGAAAATAGAGGGAGAAAATGTGGAGGCAGTGACAGACTTTGTATTTCTAGGTGCAAAGATTACTGCAGATGCAGACTGTGGCCAGGAACTCAGAAGATGCTTACTTCTTGGGAGGAGAGCAATGTCCAATCTCGATAAAATGTAAAGAGTAGAGACATCAGACTGGCAACAAAGATCCGCCTAGTCAAAGCCATGGTATTCCCTGTAGTAACCTACGGATGTGAGAGCTGGACCTTAGGGAAGGCTGAGCGAAGGAAGATAGATGCTTTTGAAATGTGGTGTTAGAGGAAAGTTCTGAGAGTGCTTGGACTGCGAGAAGATCTAACCAGTCCATCCTCCAGGAAATAAAGCCCGACTGCTCATTGGAGGGAAGGATACTAGAGACAAAGTTGAAGTACTTTGGCCACATCATGAGGAGACAGGAAAGCCTAGAGAAGACAATTATGCTGGGAAAGTGGAAGGCAAAAGGAAGAGGGGCCGACCAAGGGCAAGATGGATGGATGGCATCCTTGAAGTGACTGGACTGACCTTGAGGGAGCTGGGGGTGGTAACGGCCGACAGGGAGCTCTGGCGTGGGCTGGTCCATGAGGTCACGAAGAGTCAGAGACGACTGAACGAATGAACAACAATCATGTCTCCTCTTAGCCTTCTCTTCTACAGGTTAAGCATGCACAACTTTTTAAGCCACTCTTCATAGGGCTTGTTATCCAGACCCTTGATCCTTTTAGTCACCCTACTCTGGACACATTCCTGCTTGTCAACGTCTCCCTTAAATTGTGGTGCCCAGAATTGGACACAGTATTCCAGGTGTGGTCTGACCAAGGCAGAATAGAGGGGTAGCATGACTTCCTTGGATCTCTAGACCAAAATCCCATTTGCTTTTGTAGCTGCAGCATCACATTGTTGGCTCATGTTTAACTTCTGGTCCACGAGGACTTTACACACGTACTGCTATTGAGCCAGGTGCCCTCCATTCTGTATCTTTGCATTTTATTTTTTCTGTCTAAGTGGAGTATCTTGCATTTGTCTCTGTTGAACTTCATTTTGTTAGTTTTGCCCATCTATCTAATCTGTTAAGATCATTTTGAATTCTGCTCCTGTCTTACCTACTACAACCAATGGTCAGAATGATGGAAGCTGTGGCCCAAAAGCACTTGGAGGATGCCAAGTTGTGGAAAGTTCCTTATCTCCCACTTTTATTTCTAGCAATCAGGTATAAATTAATTGTTAAGAAGGCAGAAAGACTGATGCTCTTTTTAATGCTGTTGTTATTTTAAGAGGCAACGTGCATTATGGCAACTATACCACACCTATTTACCAGATGCAACTGTGAGTTGATCAGACACATCAAAAGTAATGATAGTGCCTGGGGGTATCTTTTGTTGAGAGGTGATTAGCTGTCCCTGATTGTTTCCCCTCTGGAGTTCCCCTGTATTTGAGTGTTGTTTTACTGATATAATTTTAGAGGTTTTTTTTTACCTATGTATCTTTTGAAATATAGAAAATACAACTGGTTTACTTCTGCAGGTTGTCTACCGGGTACTCACTAATCCTATTGCTGCCAGAGAGAGATGTTTAAGAGGCTGGCCAAGCAGCTCTTGGAAGAGTTGGGTTCGGACAGGAAGCTGATTCCTGTGTCCAGTCTAGCCCACAGTGACAGCTTCCGGCCTCTTTCTCTGGTGACCAAAGAGCAGTCCAGGTTGCCATGGCATACCCGAAAATATTTTCCAACCCCGCTCAAGCTGGCAGATATATTACAGGAAGGAGCAACTATGGAAATAGGTATGTCATCTTTCTTTATTTCATAGCTTTCTATCAGTGCACTTTGTGGTTTGCCCAACTTGATAGGATCTGATAGAAGTGGAAAGTGGGAAATTAGTGGTATAGAAATGCCTTTGGATTGCAACTGATATCATCCTTGGCTATTGTTCCTGGCTGGCTGAACCTAAAGGGGTATGGAGTCAAATGACATCAGAAAAGATTGATGAGGGGAAAAAATTGCCACACTACTGTTGATGTTTAGGCCAGGTAGACTCATAGAAGTGGGTTTCATGGACCATTGGATCCAATGTCCTTTCAATGCAGGATCTCCAGTCAAAGCATTCCTACCTGGAACCTCTTTCTGAAGATCTTGCCACATTTCTGCTAGCCAGTTGGTTCCATGGCTACTCTTAAATATCAAGAAGTTCTTTATAATGTTCAGTTGAAATCTACTCTCCTGTGAGTTCAAACCATGGCCTTATCTTCTGAGAAAGTGAGAACAAAAGACAAGCAGAAAGCATCAGGATATATATGATTATTTATTTATCTACATCCCACTTTTCTCCCACGATGGGACTCAAAGCAGTGTTCATCATGTAAAATCAAGACAATTACAAACAAAAGATATGCACACGAATCCCGATGAATGAAAAATTAACCATTTAAGACATTAAAACATTCTGAACTCCTGTTATGGTTGTGCTACTCTCAAAACACCTAGTTCCACAGCCAGGTTTTAACTCTCTTTCTAAAAACCAGGGGGGAGGAAGCCAATCTAATATTGCTGTGGAGGGAGTTCAATAGCTCAGGGACCACCACTGAGAAGGCCCTGTCCCTCTTCCCCACCAGTTGCACCTGCGAAGGAGGTGGGACTGAGAGTTTTTTTGCAGTTTAATAAGCGTTTTCCAAAAATTTTATGACAGAACCAATTAGGAAATGACATTTATAGCCCAGGAACAAAAAATGTGTTACATAATGTTATTTCCTCAAATTGATTTCAGAGCTTTTTGGTGTCTAGATTACAAATAATAGACCTTGGAATATTATTCAGAAACTCAAATTTTACTAGCTGATTAAGGTATGTTAACATTAGTATTGTGACAACAACAGCAATATTTTTTGTTTATTACCCGTCTCTCCTCGTAATACATTACTAATACACTGTAAACACAAGCATATTTAAATCTGAAAAATATGTTTAAAATGACCAGTCCTCTCCTAAAAGCCAAATGTTCAAAACACATGTTGATTTCACCTTGCATTTTTGCTAGAGCTGAAGCACTCAGAACCACTCTTGTTTTCTGCAAACACGTGCCATAAATCCGGCGCAAGGCTGAACCTTAAGATTCATTCTGCACAAGTGGAAATAAGCGGTCTGGGCTCAGTTTGTTCATCGGCCTCTCCAGTATATGTGAAGAAGACCTACGTGGACACTAGAGAGTTATGGTGAGGATGGCTTTGGAAGTTGCTAAATGGGGATGGAAAGGAGAACAAGCAAAAGAAGCCAAGTCTGTGGGACATTTCACATAACTCATAAGATGTTGCCCAGGGGATGCCCAGATGTTGAGTCCCCCTCAGGGTGAGAAAAGCGGCATACAACTACTGTAAATAAATAAATAAGATGCAGCATCATTTTGGTTCACACAAAAAGACACTCTGAGTGCATGTATTTATTTTTTTTATTTATTTACAGTATTTATGTTCTGTCCTTCTCACCCCACAGGGGACTCAGGGCAGATTACAATGTACATATAAATGGCAAACATTCAATGTCATAGACACACAACATATATAGACAGACACAGAGGCAATTTAACATTCCAGCTTTTTTTCTTGAGGTTATTCTGGCCACCAGGGGAGCTGTTCCTTCACCGACCATTTATGACACTGATGAAGTACTTCCTCATTCTTTGCATGCTTGCTGGAGATTTTTACGGCCTCGTAAATTAGTTAAATTTGCCTCCCTGCATAAGCGGTACCTAAATTTCCTACTTGACAGATGCAACTGTCTTTCGGGCTGCAAAGGTCGACAGCAAGCTACACAAATTGGTCGGACGCTCACTCCAACCCGGGCTGGCTTCGAACTCATGACTTTTCGGTCAGTAGTGATCTTAATGCAGCTGACTCCCAGCCAGCTGTGCCACAGTACAGAATTAATGCATTGTGTAGTTTAAAGAGATCTTTAGCTTTCTTTGCCAAGTAATGTTGGTGCCTTGCCAAGCTACAACTCCTAGGATTCCATAGCACTAAGCCATGACAATTAAAGTGATGTCAAACTATATTAATTCTACAGTGTACATGCACTCAGTGTAGATGCACCCAGAGTTGCTTGTGGATGTCACCATGAAATTGAGGTCCTTCAATGTGGATTTCATACAGCTGTGAAGACACAGCTGTATAAAATCCACACTGAACTAGATTATATGACAGCATGGATTCAGGGTCCTTCCACACAGCCATATAACCCAGAATATAAAGGCAGATAATCCACAATATCTGCTTTGAACCGGGTGATGTGAGTCCAAACTGTCATATAATCCAGTTCAAAGCAGATATTGTGAATTATCTGCCTTTATATTCTGGATTATATGGTTGTGTGGAAGGGCGCTAAGAGTTCCACAGAACCTGTTTTGGCCATGGTGACTTCCATAGGAAAATGTTGATGCCTCATAAGAAAACAGTGGTCAAATCCACCTGTCCATCCAACTGTGGGCTCTTCCACACCCCATATAACTCAGAATAGCAAGGCAGATTAATTCACAATATCTGCTTTGAACTGGATTTTCTGAGTCCACATTGCCATATAAGCCAGTTCAATGTGGATTTTATACAGCTGTGTGGAAGGGGCCTGTGTCCTTTTTGCTCATTGTTCTCATTGATTTCATTAAATGACTTATGCTAGAAAAATTTCCCCAGTTTCCTTTGGGAAAAAATTGCCTTTTCGTTTAACCTCCTGCCTTTTCCTGAATGCAAACTTCTTTTGCACCATTAACTGATTTGAAATAACCAGTGGTCAAAGGTCAGAAGTATGAGCAGGACACATTTTAAGATCAGCTAAAAAAGTGGGATGTCAAAGCATTCATTGGGACTGGCTTCCCCAAATTGGGACAGTCAGATTTTTTTAATTGTGTCAGAAGCAACTTGAGAAACTGCAAGTGGCTTCTGGTGTGAGAGAATTGGCCATCTGCAAAGATGTTACCCAAGGGATGTCCGGATGTTTTAACATCCAGTGGGAGGTTTCTCTCATGTCCCCACATGGGAAGCTGGAGCTAACAGATGGGATCTCACCCCATCTCATGGATTTGAACCGCCGACCTTCGGGTCAGCAGTTCAGCTGGCACAAGGGTTTAACCGATTGTGTCACAGTGGCTCAGGATAGTCAGATTATTTATTTATTTATTTATTTATTTATTTATTTATTTATTTACAGCATTTATATTCTGCCCTTCTCACCCTGCAGGGGACTCAGGGCGGATCACAATGCGCATATACATGGCTTATATACAGTTCTGGCCCAGCTTACTTGTCAGAACACATCCACCCCTACGTCCCATCTCGTAACCTAAGATCATCCGGGAAGGCCCTGCTCTCGCTCCCGTCAATTGCGCAAATGCGTCTGGTGGGGACAAGAGACAGGGCCTTCTCGGCGGTGGCCCCTCACCTATGGAACACACTCGCAAATGAGATTGATCTGCTCCCTCCCTCCTGGCTTTTAGAAAAAAATTAAAATCATGGCTTTGGGACCAGGTCTTCGGACAGTAGATGTATGTAGAGTTTAAAGGACATGGACTGGAATGACAATACGACTGGCAAGACTGTTTTTATTATTATTTATTGTTTTAATGATTGCTTATGTACTGTCTAATTATGATTTGTGCTTGATTGTGGATTTATTATTGTGGTTGTTATGGATTGGCATTGTGTCAGTGTCCAATGTATGGCATTGAATTTTTGCCAGTCATATGTAAACCACTTTGAGTCCCCCTAGGAGTGAGAAAAGTGGTATAGAAATATGGTAAATAAATTAATAATAAATAGATGATATAGTAGATGGGTTCTTCTGGATCCTATGCAGTTTTTTAGTATTAAGCACCTAAGGCAAGACATCCTGTGAATCCACCACTGTAAAAAAAAGTGAATCCAGTCCTGTTCCTCCCATAGTTTCTCCAAGGCCCTTTCTACACTGCCATATAATCCAGTTCAAAGCAGATAATCTGGATTTTATATGGCAGTGTAGAATGGGCCCAAGTCAAATCTGTGGAATCAGTTTTGGCAGAGCTTTCATTTGACTTTGGATGGGTCAGCAATGGTGCCACCAGCCATTTCTTTCTATATGCCAGTGCTATCCATCTTGCAGTAACAGAAGGTTAAAGCAAAAGATGTTCCCATATCAGGTTGAGAAAGAGATACAGGCAAGAGCATGTTTATCCCATCTGCCTTTGGGTTTTTAGAGGATTTGTATTATTGCACTTCCAATACTTCCCACAAGAGGGTAGACAAGGGCAAGGAAACTAAAACCAAGCTTCTTTAAATTCATAAATAAATACCCTAAATCAGTGGTTCTCAACCTGTGGGTCCCCAGATGTTTTGGCCTACAACTCCCAGAAATCCCAGCCAGTTTACCAGATGTTAGGATTTCTGGGAGTTGGAGGCCAAAACATCTGGGCACTAGATATATTATCTTGGACCCCTTCCCCATGGTCATATAAAATCCAGATTATCTGCTTTGAACTGGATTAAATGGCAGTGTAGACTCATATAATCCAGTTTACATCAGATAATGTGGATTATCTGATTTGATAATCTGGATTATATGGCAGTGTAGAAGGGGCCTGAAAGGGGCCCCAGAAGAAGGTACTGGCAAAATTGCTCCTGAGTATTCCTTGCTTAAGAAAGCCCTGTTATTGGGTTGCCGTAAATCAGAAGGCACACACAATTCATAGGCAGGTCATATCTGTTGGAACGTGTATTTCCAGTAGCTTTGTTCTCACATGTAAGCATGATAGCAAAAAAACCAAAAAAAAAACAACAACAAAAAACAAAAAACCAACAACAACCCTAGATCTTATGGCCCACCAGTGGGTCACGGCCCACAATTTGGGAACCACTGGTCTAATCAAATGACAAATTTCAGGATTCCATAACACTGAGTCGTAGCAGTTCAAGGGGTGTCAAACTGCATTAATTTTCTACAGTGTAGATGCATCCACAGAGAAGTTCCCAGGTTTTCTCTCAGCAGCTGTTGAAAATCCAAGGCCCCTTCTACACTGCCATATAAAATCCAGATTATCTGCTTTGAACTGGATTATATGGAAGTGTAGACTCATATAATCCAGTTCAAAGATAATGTGGATTATCTGTTCCGATAATCTGGATTATATGGCAGTGTTGAAGGGGCCTCAGACCCCTTTCAAAAGCTGAATTCCTCCTTTTTGGTTGCAGGACAATTGAGACATCCCTCAGTATAATCCAGCAAGCCTACCCTAAACTGCATTTCTACATTGTGACGGAAGCCTTTGAGATAATGGAACCACTTCTGGTAGAAGAGACCATGGAAGCAGGAGGCAAGGGAGGGGTTACTGTGGCAGAGTTACTTCATATTCAGGTTTGTCTCAGGCTTTCAGGTTGATCTTTTTATTCATTGCTTTCTCCTTCTCTGTATATAGATAAAAGCGAACAGATGTGTGTATGTTTGTTTGTTCCACAAAGACTCCTACATGGCTTGATGGATCTGGATCAAATTTAGTACACATATCCTGCATTATCCAACTTAAATTACTGATGTCATTTCAACTACAAACATTATTTTCTTTCAGGACCAGAGCAATGTATGCAATGTATATATGAAGTGCTCTGATGCAACCAGAAGAGGGCTCTCTCTCTCTCTCTCTCTCTCTCTCTGTATATCTATATCTATATAATGTAATGTTTGTTTGTGGGATTAACATAACTCAAAAACCACTGGGCAAATTGACACCAAATTTGGACACAATACATCTGTCAGGCCAACGAGTGACCATCACTCATAAAAACACTCAAAAAATAGCGGAAAAGACTTAAAAAAACAAAAAACAAAAAATGCATTACAATGCAAGTGCAAAACCATATATATATATACACAAACACACATATATACACATATACATAAATATATACCCATGCATATATATATATATATACACACACACACAACACATATACACAGACTGGGCCATAGCAACGCATGGGAAAGCTAGTATATATATATATAGAGAGAGAGAGAGGGAGGGAGGGAGGGAGGGAGGGAGGGAGAGAGAGAAGGGCTACCTCATAGAGAGAAATGACAAATAGAAGAGTGCTAGAACATAATCAGGGAGACTCTGGTCTTCCTAAAGGGCCAGATAAAATTGGAAGCAAGCTGGAGAAGGGAGAAAGGAGTCCTTAAGATGACAAAACAGGCCATAATTCAGTTCTTAAGAGAATCCTATATTCAGAGCATTGTATTTTTATGCTTGGAAAAAAAGAATTAACCCAAGTTTAGCTGTGCTTAAAAGCTTTACAGTTTTATGAATGGTCCTACTAGAAAATGCATATCTGAGCAATGCCTAACACATCAGCTAGTAAGAAAGAAAGAAACTAATGAACATGGAAGATTTATGGCATGTAAAAACCACTGCAGAGTTGTGTTTCAGTGGTATAGCAGTACCCAGAGTTTATAGGGTCAAAAGAACATAGTGCTGTGGTTAGCAAGGATATAGCAGGCTTTATACAACACACCCATATCTGATGAACTTTGATGTAAAACATCCCATAATAACCTGTATTCAAATCCTCAGGGCCTGAATGCAAGAGTGAAGAAGAGGTCCATGCTTATTCCCCAAGGTACGGTGATGGCTTATGGGGTTGAGAAGCTCCAGCTTCTTGAGGAAGACCTAGGTGGGTGAAAACCATTTTGTGGATACATTGAAATGGGTGCAGATTTTGCCGAGTGAATAGAAACAATCTTGAGGTCAGCCGGTGTATATAAACAAATGGGGTATAAGTGATTGCTCATGAGAGTGAGTAGAAAGGTATGCACATGGGTCATGCTTTAGCATGTGTATAAAAAAAAGAGACGGCAACAAAGATATTATTTATTTCTTATACTTCCAAGCTTTATTCTAAATCTCTCTGAAGGCCTGGTTAGCCTCATTGATCAAATGTTGATGAGGCTTGATTTCAGCTAGGGTTCAGCACCACAACTTAGGAAGATCTCCGACATCATGGGTAGTAATGGAGCAGTTGTCTGACCCAGTTGACGGAGGCTACTTTAAATTACTCCATAAGACTACTTATGACTCATTAGTCAATGCAGGCAAGGAATAGCTTAGTTCAGATTTTCCCTTGCCCCTTCTTCTTATTTTGTATGTCTATGGGTATTACGCAGGAGATAGCTAAAGAGCTCCCTTCCTTATAATTTCTTTGTTTCATTTTGTCTTTCCTTCAGCTTTTCCCTGCCCAAGAGATCAAACAAAGTTGGCATCCTTGCTTACTTATAATGGTATGTTGAACATTCTTTACATCCATATAAATAAAAATGTAATGTTCATTTGTGGGATTAACATAACTCAAAAACCACTGGACGAATTGACACCAAATTTGGACACAAGACACCTATCAGCCTAACGAGTGACCATCACTCATAAAAACACTGAAAAACACAGCAGAAGGGACTTAAAAAGCCATAAAATTACATTACAATGCATGCACAAAACCACACACACATACACGCAAAACGCATATACACAAATATATATATATATGCACATATTCAGACCCAAAACACATATTCACAGATTGGGCCACAGCTACGCATGGCAGGGGACGGCTAGTTTATAATGTATACACAATGTCCGTCCGAGAAGTGAAAAGATGAATGAGTTGCAGTGTCCTCTTTCTTTGGAAGAGGCCATGTTAGTCTGGATCAATATGTAAAGGGATCTTGTGGCCACTTTGAGACTAATTGGGGGGCCTTCCAGATAGGCCCTATATCCCAGGATCTGTTTCTCTCATATTATATTGCAGTAGGGATTCATATAATACAGGTTAAATCAGATCCTGGGATATAGGGTCTATCTGGAACAGCCCTGAGAGAAAGAAGTGTTCACACCACTCTCTCAGGCCCCTTTTACACTCAAAGCACTGAGCTGCTGAGCTTGTTGATCGAAAGGTCGCAGGTTTGATTCTGGGGAGCGGCGTGAGCTTCCGCTGTTAGCCCTAGCTTCTGCCAACCTAGCAGTTCGAAAACATGCAAATGTGAGTAGATCAATAGGTACCGCTCCGGCGGGAAGGTATCAGCGCTCCATGCAGTCATGCCGGCCACATGACCTTGGAGGTGTCTACGGACAACGCTGGCTCTTCGGCTTAGAAATGGAGATGAGCACCACACCCCAGAGTCAGACATGACTGGACTTAATGTCAGGGGACTACCTTTACCTTTATATTCCAGGATCTGATCCCAGATTTTCTGCTTATCCCAGTTTATCTTGCAGAGTAGACTCATATAATCCAGTTCAAAGCAGATAATTTAAGATCAGATCCTGGGATATAGGGCAGTGCATAAGGGGCCTCTGTCTCAAAGAGACTTCCTTTATATACTTGGAAGAAGGTCACCGAAGATTATTGTGTTTCTGTGATGTGAGATTTATTTACACATATAGAGGCTGAGGATAAGATCATGGTTCAGAGCACAAACTTTATTTATATATTTACTATATTTGTATACCGCCCTTCTCAGCTCTTAGGTGACTCAGGGCAGTTTACAATGGCAACAATTCGATGCCCCAAAACACCATAAAACATTTAAAAACATTAACACATAATATAAAACCATAAACAAGAATACTAAAAGCATACATCATTTGTGTCTCCTAATAAAAACATTGTCCCATCTCGTCGTCCAGTTGTTCCAATTCCTATGTATTTTACTTTGTATTTTTAAACGCTTGCTCAAACAACCAAGTCTTGACTCTCTTCTGAAATGTTAAGAGGGAGGAGGCCGATCTAATGTCCCCAGGAAGGGTGTTTCATAGCTGAAGGGCCACCACTGAGGAGGCCTTGTCTCTCATCCCCACCAAACGTTCACCTAATTCTGTTCCATGTCAAATTTCTAGGGAAACATACAATACCAAAGTATTTATTGTAAAGAACAGGCTCTTGGCTCATTTCAGCCTCAGGATGTATCTGCACTCTAGAATTAATGCAGTTTGGCACCACCTTAACTACTAGGGTGCAATGCTCTGGAATCTTGGAATTTGTAATTTGGTGAAAGCACTAGCAGTTTTTGGAAACAAGACTTGTAAAACCAAGCCATGGCAATTATAGTGGGATGAAACTGTAGTGGAAGTTGACTATAGAACCACACTAGAGGCTATCATTCTCATAGGTAATTTTTATTAATTTGCATTTTTCCATTTTCAAAGGAATCCAGCACCCCAGCCCCATCTGCAATGGAGAGCAATACAGTAGCTCATTAATTCCTTCAAAGAAGGAACATTAATATTTCCGTTTATATATTTAAGCTTATTTTAATTTTCCTCTTCTTTAGAATTCCAGGATGAATTGGGCTCCTCACTTACAGGCAAGTCAGCATTTGTTGAGTTATTTCATATCTAGATTTTTTTTTTGTCTCCCTTGTTCATAAAAATAATTTCCCTGGATTGGCACACTTTCAGCAAGAGAAGTATCAGCCTTGCAGTAATAAGAGATCTATGAAGAAGATTTCATAGACTAGTTATCAAATTACACTCGATATTAAATGAAAAAGTTTTTTTGGGGGGAAATGTGAAAATGCAAACTGTTAGGAATCATCCTTCATTTAGCAGAGTAGCACACAAGTGTCAAAAACAACAAGATGGGGAGTTTGAAATTACAAACTTAGAAAATGTTTACTAATGGTTTCTACATGGATATATACTCGTAAATGGAGAGCCTCCATTCTAACTAGCTAATAAAAAGCTTAGGTAGAAAGTTGTAGCATTCTTCTTAAGTCATCATCTTGCTGGCAGAGAAGTGAACTATGATGTTGGAAGGAAAAAAAATAGAGTTGAAGATCTTCCTCCTGGATTTACCAGATATAGAACTTCATCACATGCAATAAAATCAGCATTTCTACTCACTTAAGAAACTGCAATCAATGGTCCCTTTCACACAGCACAAGTTTCAAATGTGGGGTAGAGGTAACTTGCCATTTCTAAAGTGTGGATTTTCTTGATGATTCCTAAACTGGTTGGCAAGTGAGTTATTTTTCAATTCTCCACATTGAGACATGTAAAAATGCCCAATTTAACACATGATGGGAATTCACCCTTGCCTCTTTTTAAACATCATGATGATGTCACTATGGAGGAAGGAGCCAAGATGAACAGTATTGATTCCTTTATTCCACCATTACCATTTTGGGACTGGGGAAGTATAGCAAACATTCAAAGATATTCAAAACATTTAGGAGAAAAATCCTGTGCTTGTCTCTGAGCTCTCTTTTTCAGCATCCCTCCTTCTTCCTATGTTATCTCCCTTGTTGTAAAAGTCATTTTGAACTCTTACCTAATATTTTCTCAATTGACTTTCTGAAACTTCTGCTGCGCTATCAGGCTTTTGTTTTGCCTATGAAAAGGCTAGCAGAGAGGCATAAATGGGCTAAAGCTTCATTTTCCCCCTTCCTTCCTCTTCTCAATTCTGCAACGTAAGAATAGCCCCTCTATATATGTTGTTGTGAGTTTTTCAGGTTGTAAATTGGACTTACGAGATTACAAAGAGAGAAGTTTGGGTTTTAAAAAAGAAAACGGGGAGGGGTAGTGGGAGTGTTTACTGTGTGATGGCTAATCAAAATGATACTTTCTAAGGAAAGCGCAGAAGGTTGTGATGGGGTAGGGAAATCATCTGTTTAATTTTCAAATGAGGCTTTGTGAAGCAACTATCCCAAATGTTTTACATATCCCATATGATGAAGTCCTAAGATGCCAAGTTGTGCCCCAGCTTGCTGACATGGGTAGTGGCTAGTGGGATATTAGGACCTTATGTATATTTGTAATGTTATGTTTTATGGTCTTTATCTCCAGTTGAATTTGTTTGATATTCTGTGCATTTGGTGGAAAAGGTGCTATAAATAAATATCACTAACTTTTAGGTGTCCAGCATGTGAAAGATGCTGTTAAAGAGGCCTATGAGCCACTCATATACCTCAGCCAGGCCTCAAAGAAGAATCTTTTGGAATCCTTTGGAATATTCTTTCAAGATGGAGATATTGCCTCCACTGTTCAGTCAGTGGTATGTATGTTCCTTTGCTCAATGGTGTAGCAGTTGGTAGTTGGAGTTTTGGAGGGTTATATTATTATTATTTGGTTGCTGTCATTTTCATCCATATTAATTAACAAATTAGCACAATTTTTCTCACCAGCTGGACCTTTCTATGGTGGGGAACAATGTTGATCACTCCATATTGGAACCATTGAGTGAAGACATCCGACCTTCAGTGGAAACATTGCTGTCTCATTTAGGAATCCTCCCAGAAACAGAAAGAGGAGAAAGTCAAAGAGACCTCTGGGAACCTGTGCATTTCTTTTGTTCTTCAATAGATGGTATGTAGAGTTCACTATCTCTCATCTTGAGAGAAAGGTAGGGTATAAATGCAATAAATAAAATCAGTTGTGTGGTATGGGCCCTCTTATCACAGAAAGAAAGAAAGAAAGAAAGAAAGAAAGAAAGAAAGAAAGAAAGAAAGAATATTTAAAAAGAAGATACATTTGTATACAGTATGACCATCATATCCACAGAGGATACAGTCTAACACACACACACACACACACACACACACACATTGATTAAAAACATATTCAAAGCTAAAACCACAGCACTCCCTTACTTGATCTTAAAAGCCTTCAAGTCTGCAAATAAGGGGGTCATGCTGTATTCTAATTGATATTAAACTCAAATTAAAATAGACATTAAATAGATCTCATCATTCATAGTATACAGGTTGGAGAAGATTGTGATCAGATTATTTGTGTTTGGTTGCTCAGCCTACTACCCAATTGCTAATTGTGGATGCACAGCTTCCCTGGCATTGTTCTTAGAAACAGATATAGACTGAAGACTGAATTGTTGTGTCATCTGCTCTTTGAACAAAGGATGCTTTCAATGAGAGGACTGACCACGTTGGCCTGGGGTTCTGTAGCTTAAAAAAGTAATAATAATTTATATCTCTAGGGGAGTGTAATAACATTTGGCGAGACACAAATGAGTGGGCTTGTACTGCTTATCAAGCATGGTATTTCTTTCAATTTTGCCCCTTATATGATTATATGAACTGAAGTAATGACTCCTGTAAGTGAATTCATGTGAACCTGAATTCTGCTCACTCTGCATGCTGTCCACATTGGCTCACAAGAGAATGAAATTGAGTGAACTGAAATACTACATGTTTCACAACCTTTCCAGACATGAAAATACAATTTTCCTAATTGGAGCTTTCTCTGTTCCTTGTATTTTGTAACTGTGTTCACAGACTTGGACTATGAGATATTGCCTCTCTTGGAGACCATTGTGGAGAAGAACATTGTGGTCAAACTACTGGAGATGGTGAGGCCCCTTTATGTTTAATTATTTCTATGGTCCCTTCCATATTGCTCCTTTATCTCAGGATCCAATCCCAGATTATCTGTTTATCCCAGGTTATCTGGCAGTGGAGACTCATTTATTCCAGTTTAAAGCAGATAATCTGGGATCAGATCCTGGAATAAAGAACAGTGTGGAAGGGCCCTATGTTGCATTTTACTTGTTTGGTTTTTTTAATCATTCATATTCATATTTAAAATGTAACACGTTCTGTTCATACTAAACATGTAATACATTCTGGCCCAGTTTACCTGTCCAAATGTATCTCCCACTATGAACCACCAAGGACTTTAAGATCATCTGGATAGGCCCTGCTCGTTGTCCCGCCACCATCGCAACCGCGGCTGTTGGGGACAAGAGACAAGGCCTTTTCTGTGGTGGCCCCTTGGCTTTGGAATTCCATTCCAAGTGAAATCAGATCCGCTCCATCCCTCCTCACTTTCCAAAAATAAGTGAAATCCTGGCTGTGGGATCAGGCTTTTGCAAACTAGACGGATTTGACGGCAAATATATGGTTTTAATGGACTCTGATGGACTGTTTTTAAGACAACTTAAATTGGTGATTGTTTTAAAGTTTTTAATGTTTTATATTGTTTTTTTATTTAATATGTATTTTTATGTTGTTGTTAGCCGTCCTGAGTCCCTCTGTGGTGGTCGAGATAGGACGGGATACAAATGTCCTAAAGAAAGAAAGAAAGAAAGAAAGAAAGAAAGAAAGAAAGAAAGAAAGAAAGAAAGAAAGGGAGAAAGAAAGAGAGAAAGAAAGATGTTTTTGTTGGTAGTAAACATTTATCTGTGGGAAATAGTCATCATACAAGAACACTTTCTATTCAATAGATTAGATATATAGTTGCACCTAAAAGACACTGTAAGAGATGTAAAATCTGAGCATAAAACAGAGAAACTGAGAGGTTTTTCCTTTCCCTCCCACACTCCACAGGAAATGAGATATATAACCTCCTCTTCCTTACTCATTTATGCTCCTTTTTACTTCTTCTTTTCTTTTTTTGACATCAAAAGATGGATGGCATTCTGGAGTGGATTCTTTCTGGTGAGGAAGGTAGTCTTTTCACTCTCCCATTTCATTCCCTGATGGATGAAGAAGCTGAACTAACAGTGGAGATGCTCCAAACATGCAGCCTGGATTTAGAAACAGGGGAAGCATGCGTGGCTTGCCTATGGAACAGTAAAGCCCACTCAGAACTGGCTGTTCTTTACTCCAGTTTGTATGCTCTAAAGATTTTAAGTGTGTGAAGGAGGAAGGAACACGTATTCCAAAAAAGACTATACTCTCCTGATGGACTGTGGACTCAATATTTAAATTTCAGTTTCTTGGGACGTCATCTTCTCCTACCTGTGTGATCCAAAGATTATGGGAAACATGAGTGGTTTGTATGTATTTAAAAGTTTACAAGAGATTTGTCATCCCTGCTGTCTCCTCAGTGATCTTGTTTCTCATCCATATCTTTGGAAATTGTGTCAATGTGGCTGAGATGTTGGCCTAGATCCTAAGTTATATTCTTAAAAAATAATAATATAGACCTGATGCTTCTTCAGGGCAGGCTCTAGAAGGAGGAAGTGTTTCTCCAATGAATGTTTAATCCCATTTTGTCATCATTAATATATAGAAAAGGCTACTGATTTTAAAAGGCAAAACTACTTGAAAGGTAGATAACAAAGACTGGCTCTTCACAAAACAAAGTGCAGAATCACACAAAGCCTGAAGAAAGCAAAGTAAATGGGACAGGCAGTAGCTTTTAATGGCTGAAAGGACCATATCTATAAAGAAAAAAAAATTCTTTATGCAAAAAATTTTGAAAAAATGTTCCTAGATTGAAAATGTTATTTCCTGTTTAGTTATTATACTCCAGGAACTTTGTTTTTGTGGTTGCTACAAACTATGTTGAATTGGTCGAGACTCGATCAGATATTCATTGAAAAACTATAGCAAAATGTGCTGCAGGACGTTCTGCAAAACCAAAGGTTTTGCAATTTAATAAATCTTTTCCATGTTTCTATGATATTTATTATTTATTTATTAACTGTATTGTATTATTGTTTTCATGTTGATGTGTTTTATTTTATGTATTATGTATTTTATGTATGGCATTTGTGTGCTATTTTGTAAGCCACCCTGAGTCCCTATGGGAGATGGTGGTAGGATATAAATAAATAAATATTATTATTACCCTGCTTAATCTTACCCCAGAGGGGACTCAGGGTGACTTCCAGTTTTTTTGGCGATTATTCAATGCCACATTGAGACACAAAGCAGACAAATATCCAAAATATTAAACTATAAAATCCAAAAAAACATTAATTTTAAAAAATTAAAAACAGTTAAAACATTGCACCTAATCCCACCATTGTAGTCCAAGCTGCTTCGATTATATCAAAACCATGGATGTATATTGCACCATAGTTGTGCTACTCTCAAAATGCCTGGTTCCACAACCAGGCTTTAACTCTCTTTCTTAAAACCAGGGGAGAGGAAGCCAATCTAATATTGCTGTGGAGGGAGTTCAATAGCTCAGGGGCCACCACCGAGAAGGCCCTGTCCCTCGTCCCCACCAGTTGTGCCGGCGAAGGAGGTGGGACTGTGAGTAGGGCCTCTCTGGCAGATCTGATCACCCGAGTTGGTTCATAGGGAGATATATGTTCAGACAGGTAAGTTAAGCCAGAACTGTTTAGGGCTTTATAGACTAAAGCTAGCACTTTGAATTGGGCTTAATAGCAGACTGGCAGCCATTGGAACTGACGTAACAGAGGGGTTGTATTCTCCCTGTATGCCGTTCCAGTGAGCAATCTGACTGCTGCACATTGGACTACTTGAAGCTTCCGAATAGTCTTCAAAGGCAACCTCACGTAGAGCGCATTGCAGTAGTCTATTCGAGGTGTAACAAGAGCATGGATAGAACCAATTAGGAAATGACATTTATAACCAAAGAATAAATATCATGTTACATAGTGTTATTTAACACATAATCCTAGATTCGCTCTAAATAGTGGTGCTGGAGAGCTACTTTGCCATCTTGGCATGCCTCACTGCTTCATTTTAGTGTGCCTCTGAGTATCTCCATGGAGGTGTGGGTCACATACTTTCCGTCCCTCTATGTTCACATGTTACTTGTCTAGTAAGCACTTGTCCGGCCTTTTAAGCTCCAGCTTTGGATTATCCATACCATCATTGTATTCATTATTTTAAAAGGTAACATGTGTATCAAAACTACATTGCAACATATGAAAAACTGTGAGATCTGAGGGTGGCTGAATTTCAGTCCACACATTATTCTTAAAGATTCAGATCAATTGCTCTAATAGCTGAATTTGTTAAGACTGTGTTCCTCATGCACCACTATTTTAATGAGAAAGCTGGCATCTTGATCTAGTAGTGGAGCCCTATATGGAGTGTGGAACATATAGCATTTACCCACACATTCCTTATTATCATGACAATTCTGCATTTCTTCACTCATCCGTATCAGTGATATGGAGTGGGGATAGAAAATGCAAATATTAGAATTCAAAGCAGAAGTAGGATCTACTATATGTCAGAGGATGGCAGAATATACTAGGCTTGGCTGATCAAAAAAAATGGTTCAAAACTCATTTCAGATGTAGGGGGCACTGGTGGTTTGATTTGGAATTTAATTCCGATTTCTCTCCCCCCCCCCCCAAGAATTCGGAACTTTCCAAAATTTCCGAATCATTTTGTTAATGGTGGACGCAATTGCCCAATGTATGGGATTTCTAGTGTCTTCTTAGGCAACTCACAGCAAACAAAGAAAAAAAAGAAAGAAACAGCCCTGCCCTTTTTGCCTTGGAAGATGATTTCATTACTTTGGGAAGGAGAGTTTGTGTTCAAAGAGTGGCTTGAATTGATGAAAGATCTAGTTTTTTTGAGGCATTGGTGGAGACGAGGGATAGGGCTTTCTCTGTGGTGGCCCCTCGACTCTGGAACTCTCTCCCTAAAGACATCAGGCAGGCCCCGTCGCTAGCAATCTTTAGGAGGAGCTTGAAAACGTGGTTGTTCCAGTGTGCCTTCCCAGAATAGGAAACTCCTAGCATTATGTCCCAATGCACTTTATCAGAGATCTAGGATATCTACATGCCCATCCCCCTCCAAACACTCCACCTGGTCATGCCCAGCACTTTTAATTTTAATTGCTACATTTTGCCCTGCCATTGTTTTTTTTAAAAATAATTTTTATTAAGGGTTTATTATTATTATTATTATTATTATTATTAATTACACAAACTAAAAAGCACTGGGGCCAGAGAGACCAGCTACAAGGTTGGCTTTTTAAAATGTTGGGAGCGCTTTGGTTCCTCTGTGTTGCTCCCACCCACGCCACTCACCCACATACACAATACCCTCATGGTGCTCATCCAACCCAAACCCCACCAGCAACAATACACAAGTGGCAAGGCAGGCAGTGCCCACTTCCCAGGCAGCCAAGCATGGCTGGCAACAGCCCTTCCCCCAGCCCTTCTTCCTTTCTTTTTGCTTGTCCACCGTGCTCTTCTTCCAACCTCCCTTCAACACAACCTCCCTTCCCTTAGTCTTAGTCTTTGTCTTTCCTCTTCTCCCTTTCCTCCCTTCCCTTCCCTTCCTTTCCTTTCCTGGCTCCAAATGAGCCTCTGAGCCACATGCTCCCCTTTATATACAGCAATGGCTGCCAGTGTAAAAACCCCTCCCCTCCCCAAAACCTCTCCCCTGATTGGCTGGGAGGGGAGGCAAGGAGCCTCCCAGCCTCCCAGCAGACTAGAGGGCTGAAAAGTTTTGACTCACTTCCTGAGTCGTAACAAAAATGGCGGAGAAAGCTTCAGAAGGGCAAAGGGACTTCCGGGTTTTTTAAATGCTTCGAAATCGCTTCAAAAAGGTAACTTTAACGAAATTATTATGAGTAATGAGTAATCCAACGTGGCTCTATCTATGCCTAGTATATACCCTTTTCCATGGTAGTTTGGTTCCAGGACTTCTGGGTCTTTAAAATGCTTCGAAACTGCTTCAAAAAGGTAACTTTAATGAAATTATTACGAGTAACAAGTAATCTGACGTGGCTCTATCCATGCCTAGTATATACCCTTTTCCATGGTAGTTTGGTTCCAGGACTTCCAGGTTTTTAAAATGCTTTGAAATCACTTCAAAAAGGTAACTTTAACGAAATTATTACGAGTAACGAGTAATCCAACGTGACTCTATCCATGCCTAGTATTATACCCTTTTCCATGGTAGTTTGGTTCCAGGATTACAGATGAAAATAATGGCACAGGAAAAGTATGTGCAGCCACTTTTTCACTTTTATTTATATTTGGTTTTATTTAACAGGATTTTGCTCCATAGTGTTTAATCCGGATGCTCGTACATTTCTCACAAAACACTTCATTGCTTGGACTATAAGTCCCAGGATCACAGGCCACTGAAAATCAAACGGAGAAGCACTGTAAAGTTGGAGAAAACATGCAAAGGGCCCTAATCACTGAAATTCATACATATGCATCTGTAAACTGGGATTCTACATTCAAAATGTAGTTACAAATGTAGTTTCATTGCCCAACTGACCCCTGAAACCCAATTTAAAAGCTAGCCAGATGTCCTGAATAATGGAGGATTATTTTGTGGCAGTTGAGTGGGTTTGGTTGGTTTTTAAAATAGGTTTCGGGATCATTCGCAGTTCAGTAAACTGCAAATGAACCGTAATGAGAATATGAAGCAGATTCCCTAAATCTAATTTAGGGCATTGTAACTGATCAAGAAGGCACCTACCATTATGTAGAGGGCAATATAGAAAAGCATTCTTAAACATTTGTCTAATCTTTGTATATAAGGAAAACAATGCTTCGGAGTTGTAAAATATTTGACTAATTCCTTTTAAAGCTGTCTAAAGGAAGTGGCTATTTGCACATCTTCTGGGAAAAAGCATTTGTTCCATAAAGTCTATAATTTAATTTTATGTGGACGCTAGCAGTGTAAAGTCAAATATTTGATTCTATTTATTAAATTCTTGGGAGCAGTCCAAGGATTCACAATAGCAAATCATCATTATAATAACAACAGCAATAACTGGAAGCACAACAGATTCCTAAGAGGCAGAGCACAAAGACAATTAAGAGCTTGCCCTGGCAGCTGCGGCTGTAGAGAAGCCTCTTAAAAGGCATTTGGTTTCTTGGAGAGGGAGAAAGAGAGAGCATTCTTTATCATTTAACAGCAGATAAGTATAATTAGTGCTTTTTATGACGGAAATAGGGAAATCTTATTTCTCGCCTGTATCCTGTTCACATGTTTCCCATTGACAACTGAATTAATCTTCATTTTTTTAAAAAAACTTAAAGTATTATTTAAATCTGTTGTGTTTTGTTTCCCCCATCCCAAAAAAATAAATATTTAAACATATAGTTTGGTATGTTTAAACTACAAGAAACTATAGCAAAGGTAAAGGTTTCCCTTAACATTCAATCTAGTTGCGTCCGACTCTGTGGGTTGGTGCTCATTTCCATTTCTAAGCTGAAGAGCCGGCATTGTCCATAGACACCTCCAAGGTCATGTGGCCGGCATCACTGTATAGAGCGCCGTTACCTTCCTGCCGAAGCAGTACCCATTGATATATTCACATTTGCATGTTTTTGAATTGCTAAATAGGCAGAAGCTGGGGCTAACAACGGGAGCTCACCCCACTCCCCAGATTCAAACCGCTGACCTTTTGGTCAGCAAGTTCAGCAGCTCAGTAGTTTAACCTGCTGTGCCACCAGGGGGAACTATACTGAACTATACTGAAATATTATTACACTAGGAACTCTACTGTAACATTATTCTTAAAGACTGCATTTCATGCACCACTATTTTAAAGGGAATGTGACATCTTGATTCTGATACTTGAGTCCTGCAGCAACCAGTATTTCTAAGTTTTAAATCAGAGCAAGATCCCATGCAAATGTCATTTAAATGTGGCTCCGACTGAATTAGGACAGTTGCCTAAACTGTTTAATAGGGAAGTAGAATTGATTCAGGAGGAAGAGGAGAGTTTTTGTCTCTCTGTCTCCACTCACCTACACCCAGGGGTGGCTCAACCCATTATGCAAAGTAAGCATTTGCAGTATAGTTGATTTTGCCCAAGGGAGCTCTTGAGGCTCTCTTGGGGGAAAATAGACCTTGACATATGTGAGTTGTAGTTACTAGGATGTATAGTTCACCTACAAACAAAGAGCATTCTGAACTCCACCAATGATTGAATTGAACCAAATATGGCACACAGAACTCTCACGATAAACAGAAAATATATATATCAGTGATGGGTTGGGGGGGCGCCAAAATACTGTTTGCTTACTGTTGAAAATTACCTAGGGTCACCTCTGCATATAACCCAGAATATAAAGGCAGATAATCCACAATATCTTCTTTGAACTGGGTTATCTGAGTCCACACTGCCATATAATCCAATTCAAAGTGGACTTTATAGTGCTGTGTGGAAGGGGCCAGAAGGCTTGGGATTAAAGGATTCTAAGAGAATATGCTCACTTGGCTCACACAAGGCATTGGCCAAGTTCACCGAGCTGTGTTTGCTTGCAAAAATATCCAGAATTGCATTATAGAAAGGATAAAACAACTATTTCATTCTGATTGCCTGGGAGAATAGTGTGTGGTTGAGAAAGCAAACAAACAAATACCACAACAATTTGCGCAGTCACTGTGAGTGATGTCATTTTTCCCAAACCCTGGGCGACAGTTGTCCAGACGAGTGACTTGGAAACTATGATCAATGTAACGGATTGGGGGCGTATTCCGATAGTTTTCCTTCAGGAAGGCCTCCTGCCTGCGGAAAAACTCTTCTATGAGCCATCGAGCCTAAAGCGTACAGTGAAATGACAAAAATAACAATTTTGTGTTTGAACATAAATAAGTAAAGTAGAGTCTTGCTTATCCAACCTTCGCTCATCCAACGTTCTGTATTATCCAACGAATTCTGCCTCCCACCTGGATCCATAGCTGTTTCAATACATTGCAATGTTTTGGTGCTAAATTCGTAAATATAGTAATTCCGACATAACATTACCATGTATTGAACTGCTTTTTCTGTCGATTTGTTGTAAAACATGATGTTTTGGTGGTTAATTTGTAAAATCATAATGTAGCATTGCACATGGAGACTATGACTCTGAAGTATATACAGAATAGCACAATAACAACAACAACAACAATAATGAGTGATAATAATATAAAAACTATTTATAGACCGCCCTGTCTCCCTGAAGGGACTCAGGGCAGTTTCTAACATATATGGCAAAAACTCAATGCAAACAAGAAAACATACTATAGTATACTTTAGAGCACATAAATTGTGGTTTCTTACACCAAATAGAGTCCCCTTAGCTCAATGTGAAATATTTGGCCACAGTAAAAAGTTTCTGAATGCCATCTAGTGGACTGTTTCAGACATTTACTCAAATCTGTTAGTAACAACATGCAGCGGTTACAGCAGACTCTATAGAAAATGCTTCAGCTATACTTGATTAAAGGGAAAACAACTTGTTTAGTATTCCTGGCAAATGCTGTTTTATTATCAGTAAAAGTTTTATTTTTATACTTATTTCATATGCCTATATGCCTAGGGTCAAACAACAAATTCCCAGGTGGAAAGGGGTTGCAAGTGGGAAAAGATTAAGACACTCTGTTATATAGAGTAGGGAAACATCTATGATGCTCAAAGAATATGCTTTTTCTGCTGATTTCTTTGCTAGTTTGGGAGTGATCCTGGACTCATCGCTGAGCCTGGAACCCCAGGTCTCGGCAGTGGTCAGGGGAGCTTTTGCACAATTAAAACTTGTGTGCCAGCTGCGCCCGTACCTTGGGAAGTCTGACTTGGCCACGGTGGTCCACGCTCTGGTTACATACCGTATAGACTACTGCAACGCTCTCTACGTGGGGTTGCCTATGAAGACTGCCCGGAAGCTACAACTAGTCCAACGAGCGGCAGCCAGACTACTAACGTGTGCTGGGTAAGTGGAATGTTCATGTTGGCAGCTCCACTGGCTGCCAATTAGCTTCCGAGCACAATTCAAAGTGCTGGTGTTGACCTATAAAGCCCTAAATGACTCTGGCCCAGTTTACCTGTCCGAACGGATTCTCCCCTATGAACCATCAAGGTTGTTAAGATCTTCTGGAGGGGCCCTGCTCTCGGTCCCACCACCTTCGCAATCACGTCTGGTGGGGACGAGAGACAGGGCCTTCTCGGTGGTGGCCCCTCGGCTGTGGAACTCTCTCCCGATAGAGATCAGATCTGCCCCCTCCCTCCTGACTTTCAGAAAGATGGTAAAATCTTGGCTCTGGAATTTAGCATTCTCAGATTGATGATTGAATCAATAACTGTTGACTACAAGGCGGATGGTGGTGAATTTGTGATTTACCTTGACGACTTGGTTTTATGTAATTCTTGATCTGTATTTTAATGTGTTATTAATGTACTATGATATTATTATGCTTTAGTTTATTTGTATACTGATTCTCTGTTGTTAGCCGGCCTGAGTCCCTCCTCGGGGGTCAAGAAGACCAGGTTATAAAAGCTCTAAATAAATAAATAAATAAATAATAAATTTTGCAGCCCACAAATGTTTATGGGCAAATGTGGAAAGAACTCTTACCTGTTGAATATGGCCATTGGTCACATCTTCACAGTCAGCAGGAATCTGGTGGCAAATAATGTCCCAGCCACGGGCAAATGGGTTTACTAAGAAACGGATAAATACATTAGTCTCCCTCTAAATATGGTGCTTTGGTTGTATATTCCCACATGGCAGGGAATTGGACTACTTGTGGTATCTTCCAACTCTGTGATTTATTTATTTATTTTTAAAATTATGTCTAAAATTCCTACACAACCACCAAAGAGTTAGGGATGGAATATCTTAACCTTGTTTATTCACAATTAAATCCCGTGAATTTTTGTGGCCTTAAGACAGTGTTTCTCAACCTGAGGATCGGGACCCCTGGGGGATTTGCAAGGAGCTGTCAGAGGGGTCACCAAAGACCATTAGAAAACACAGTATTTTCTGTTGGTCATTGGAGTTCTGTGTGGGAAGTTTGGCCCAATTCAATCATTGGTGGGGTTCAGAATGCTCTTTGATTGTAGGTGAACTATAAATCCCAGCAACTACAACTCCCAAATGTCAAGGTCTATTTTCCCCAAACTCCATCAGTGTTCACATTTGGGCATATTGAATATTCATGCCAAGTTTGGTCCAGATTCATCAATGTTTGAGTCCACAATGCTTTCTGGATATAGGTGAACTATATCCAAGTTTGGTTCAGCTCCATGGTTGGTGGACTTCAGAATTCTCTTTGATTGTAGGTGAACTACAACCCCCAAATGACAAAATCAATCCCCTCCCCAACCTTACCAGTATTCAAATTTGGAGGTATCAGGTATTTGTACCAAATTTGGTCCAGTGAATGGAAATACATCCTGCATATTAGATATTTATATTACGATTCATAACAGTAGCAAATTTACAGCTATTAAGTAGCAATGAAAATAATTTTATGTTTGGGGGCCACCACAACATGAGGAACTGTATTAATGGGCCCTGGCATTAGGAAGGTTGAGAACTATTGCTTTAAGGGAAAAGGGAAAGCAAGCCACAGATGAAGAAACTTCTACATTCATTTTTTACTATACCTTGGTACCATGGACAGCAACGGAAAGGCATTTGATTTCTACATTGGAACATTTTCCTCATTTACTGCTTTGATATGGAATCTTTATGCATTGCGCTGAATTCCAAAGGATGTGTAACAGTGCGTGTGTCATTCATGGTCTATTCTAGTTAGGTCGTTAAGGCCACAATATTATCCCACATGAACAAAAAATAAAAAAATTCTCATGGTTGTGTATTGCAAGAGGAGGTAAAATGTTATGAGCAAATCACCTGGAAAGCTCGATCATCACTATTGTATAACTTATTGCAGCACCCAATAATTCCCTCAAGCATTTCATTTTTTTTAAATACAAACTACAGCTTGTCTGTTACTAGTTGTTCTTTCTGTGCAGGTTTGATGGCATGATTGCTACATTAGCAAGTGTGCACTATGGCCCTAAATGCCTGCCCTAATACAGAATTCACTATTGCAACTCATAATACTACTACAAAAGAGGCATATCTTCTGGAAATATTGGTAATGTTCATCATGCTTGTTAGAAACCGCATGCATGTTTTATTCCTCGGTGAGCCCTTTCCCATGAAGTCATTAACAATCACAACATATAAGAACTCTACATGTTACAGCTGAACCCTACAAGTCTTAGGTGAAATTTTTAAAAGTTTCAACTTCTGAGGAATCCTCACATAAGATGGCAAGAGCAATAAGTGTGAGATTACTATTCGTACAGAGTGCATCACCAAATAACTAAAGTAAGCTTTCAATTTCTGGGGTTGTCTAAGGGAGGTCTTTTGGAATAGATCATGGAAATCCTGAAAGGTCTTAAGTCTTCATAATTTTCATATGATAAGCTGAGACCCATCATTGCCATGACTTATTATGTACATGCAACTAGATTTTCCAAAGGAAGTGACGGTTTTGATGGGACTATATCATGAGTAAGCAGGTAATTGAGAATGCAGAAGCAATGCTCATGGGACCTTTCCATACAGTTCTTCCCTCACATGGTTCCCACCACCCAGGATTGTCAGGCATCCCAGATTTTAAGGAAAAGTCTCTTATTTTGGGAAAATGTCTGGCATCCCAGGGGATCACTGGATGGGTTGTCCTTGGCCAATGAGGGTCCCATTCCCTTTATCAAGGTGAGGAGGGAGTGGCGAGATGTCAGTTGCCGAGGAGGAGGAGCTCAGATGAGGGCGGGAGAGAAAGGGTTGGGGCCTCATTGGTCAAGGCCCCAGAAGTCCCACCCCCAGAAGTCCCCATTTGGAAGGCCTGTCCATCTCCCCTTTGCTGGCTGTCCCTTATTTTGAAGGCAGACATCTGGCAACCCTGCCACCCCTACTCCTGAAAACCAAAAGTCATGAGCAAATAAACTTAACAATTCACCTTCTATTACCTTGAAAAACAATGAACAGCTCAGTTCCTATCCCGTGTTTGGGTCGCTTGACAGAGTGACATTTGTACGATGTGTCGGCGATATGACACGTCAGGTAGGAAATCAGATTATTCAGAATTTTCTTTAGCTCTTCAAAGAACTCGTCATTTGCCAATAAGTTGCATGCTTTTGTTTCGAAGTGAACAGACATTCGGTACGTATAATCTGGTTCACGATATGCTAGAAGATAAAAGGATGCAGACATGTGAGTGAATCTAAATCTCACACAATGTTATTTATTGTTATTTATTATTGCAGTGGTTAATCATAGCCAGAACCCTGCTTGGACATTGTGTATCTGTAAGTGGACTTATGTCTGCAAGAATTATAATTGCATAGTTGCATGCATCCATATACAATAGAGGATTTCAGTTGCGTTACCCGGTAGCAGAGACATCAAAGTGCCCAATGTGCATTAGTTCCTGATGCCCATTGGCCAATGAACCAATGCAGAAGGGACTGGTACATAATGGGACCAATGCACAACCTAACTGATGTGCACAATGGATCAATATGTATTGCATTGGCCCTAACGCAATATGCATCAGCCCCAATAGGAACTGGGCACAGCAGGCTTTTGCTTGTGTCCCATTATGTTTCTTTGCAAAGTATAACCCAGTTTCTTAGTGCCTCTGCTACTTAGCGAAGTATACATAAAGATACGGATGGTTGTTGTTGTTCATTCATTCATTCAGTCATTTCCAACTCTTCGTGACCTCATGGACCAGCCCACGCCAGAGCTCCCTGTCGGCTGTCACCACCCCCAGCTCCTTCAAGGTCAATCCAGTCACTTCAACGATCGCATCCATCCATCTTGCCCTTGGTCAGCCCCTCTTCCTTTTTCCTTCAATTTTCCCCAGCATCATTGTCTTCTCTAAGCTTTCCTTTCTTCTTATGATGTGGACAAAGTGCTTCATCTTTGTCTCTACTATCCTTCCCTCCAGTGCGCAGTCAGGCTTTATTTCCTAAAGTATGGACTGGTTGAATCTTCTTGCTGTCCAAGGCACTCTCAGAACTTTCCTCCAACACCACAGTTCAAAGGCATCTATCTTCCTTCGCTCAGCCTTCCCTATGGTCCAGCTCTCACATCCGTAGGTGACTACGGGGAATATCATTGCTTTAACTATGCAGATCTTTGTTGCCAGTCTGATGTCTCTACTCTTCACTGTTTTATCGAGATTGGTCATTGCTCTCCTCCCAAGAAGTAAGCGTCTCCTGATTTCCTGGCTGCAGTCTGTATCTGCAGTAATCTTTGCACCTAGAAATACAAAGTCTGTCCACTGCCTCCACGTTTTCTCCCTCTGTTTCCCAGTTGTCAATCATTCTTGTTGTTATACATAAAGATACATATGGTAATAGGTCAAATAGGATTCTCCCAATTATTTATTATTTTCTAGCACCTATAATAACTAGGAATTATGCACAAAACAAAAGACCTAGGCTGTGCCACCTCAAGGTTACAACTTTAGAAAAGTTACTTTTTCAAACCTCAGTCATAATATTTGACCAACTGATGACACCATTTGTTAATCACATTCTGAATTTAGCTCAGTCTGATCAGAACTACTGCTTTTAAAAAAGACTATACCGAATGTAAAGTTTTCATTTTGGTTGCAAACAGGCAAGCTATAGAAGGCATATGGAGTCTTTCTCGATGTTTAAAAAGATTTTCACCTTTTCCATGTTAGGCATCATCACCGTTTCACATGGGGATGATGTCTAACATCGAAAAAATGAAAATCAGGGTGAGAAATTTTTAAAAAATCAATAGATTTGTTTCTCTTTATAACCCTTTGGTTTTGAAACAGTTACAAGTGACTTGACAAGAGTCCTCCTTTTATGATCACTTTTCTTCCGATCCAGATTTTCATTCTTATCCACCCCCATCCTGTTTTCTAAATCCCACCCACAAGGGAAAAAGTTAGTCCACATACATTTTTCCAATGCAGGAGGGAGGAAAGGCAGGTTGTGATAGAATTTTGACAAAATGGTTCCATAAAGTATCTAGACCATGACTGTAAACCTCTGCCATAGATTGTAAATAGAATACCTACTTGTATATTTTACACAGGTTGAATACCCCTTATTGGAAAAGCTTGCAACAGAAGTTTTTTGGATTTCAGATTTTGGAATACCTCTCCATAAATAAGTCTAAGCACAAAATTCAGTTATGTTTCTTGAAGGTTTGGAGGCCACAATTATGGATTTTGATGTGACATGAATAATTTGGGGGTCATTCCCTGGCAGCAGTTGCCCTGGATTCCACCACTGCACTTTTCTCATCCAGTTATTCAAAAAGATTAGAAATGGCATTGAGGGGGAGAAAGTAGAGCAGATCTAGTGTTTCTTTTGGGTTCTCCCTGGACAGACTAAGCTTCTGCCTTTCACTAGTCAGAGAAGAGGATGTGACAAGAGTTAAAGTGTAGTGCTTCCATTGACTTGCAAGTAAGTAGGGGCTGCTGGTTAGCACAGCTGGTTAAAAACTGCCAGCTACAGAAAATCTTGCTGATCAGAAGGTTAGACATTCAGGCTGCGGGTGGGGTGAGCTCCCGCCATCAGCCCTAGCTTTCTGCTTACCTAGCAGTACAAAAACAGTGATGTGAGTAGATAAATAGATACCGCTTTGCAGGGAGGTAAAAGGCGCCCCTGAAGACATACTGGCAATTCAATCAGGAAGGACAACAGACTCCTCTGTGTGGAAAAATGAGACAACAGCACCTCCCCATGACAGAATCAGGCACAGCCTCCAGACGCCGGAAATGAAAAGAGGGAAGCCTTGCCTCTATCTATGTGCTTGTAAATTGTTTGTAAATTGTATAGCGGAATTTACCATAAATATATTCTGTAATCCCTCAGGGAGTCCCTTCAGGGAGATAAAGCGGAATATAAATAAAATATATTATTGTTATTATTATTATTATTATTATTCAACACATTTTTTATTAATACATGTGTACTTAAAGTAATTTTATACCCAATATTTTAAATAATTTGATGTATATTGAACTCTCACAAAGCAAAGGCATTACTATCTCAACCATCTCAATTTTTTTGGATTTTTGAGTATTTCATATTTCAAAATTCCAGACAGGAGATGCATGGTTATACATTTAAAATGACACTGAACAACAACTAGTGGTGTTAACATCTTAAAGATTTTCCTTTCAAGACATAAGAGGATGTGTAGGGACGCAGGGTCCTTAGGGGACTGTATACTGCTGAATATTCAAACATATTTTGTTTATCAGGTTTTTCTTTAGGGTTTGAGACCCACATTAGATTGAATAGGTTCTGTCGACAAAACAGTGAAACTGGTATGACTGAGGGTGGGAACTAAAAGGAATACAGGAATTATTTATTTCCTTACCGTAAACCATAAATTTATATGTCTTGAATCTTTCCTGTTCTGCTTGCAAGTCATTTCGAAAAACTCTGTAAGAAAGTGTGCAAGTATAAGATCCGGACATGCGCGCTCTAAAACCAAGCAACATCAATTTTCCAGTTGCCGTGAGATTCACATAGCTTTTTCCTAAAACAGAAATAAATACACAACATGAGTCTATAATCTCTATGTTCTAAACCAACAGCGAGAGTGCAAGGAATCAGCTAGTGCACGCTTCAGTTTTGCATCTTAGACTGGAATGGGAGTAACGTTCTGTGGGCATGAAAAATTGATCTGTGAGGAGAGAAATTAAAAGAAATAATCTTAGGACAGAACTTGGAAATAATAATAATAATAATAATAATAATAATAATAATAATAATAAAATTTATTTGTACCCCACCACCATCTCCCCAAAGGAACTTGGGGCGGCTCATAGAAGCACTTTAAGTGCTTTACATAAAACAACAATACATAAGCATATAAAGCAACAACGTAAGTCTACAAAACAATGAACACACATAAACCCCATTTAATAAAATTCTAAAATTCATAAAATGCAGTAAAATCTGCGAATAAGACTAGCTGTCTACAATTGACAATCTAAAATACTGGATAGAAGTAATTGCTAGGTCCTCAAATCAGACCATAAATTACACAAAATCAAAGGCCTGTCTTAAAAGCCATGTTTTTAAACTAGCCCAAAAGGCCTGGAGAGTGGGGGATAACTAATTTCTCTAGGGAGGGTATTTCAGAGCCAAGGGCTATCATTGAGAAGGCCCTTTCTCTCATCCCCACCAACTGTGCTTGAGATGATGTTGAGAATGAGAGAAAGGGCTCCCCGGCAGATCTCAAAGCCCACGCCTGTTCATAGAAGGAAGATGCGGTCTCGAAGATAGGTTGGACCCAAAGTGTATATGGCTTTATAGATGATAACCTGCGCTCTGAATTGGATCCGGAAACTTATTGTAAGCCAGTGGAGCTGCTTTAATAGGGCCATGGAGTGCTTCCTATAGCTAAGCCCAGTTAGTAATCTGGTTGTTGAACTTTGCACTAACTGCAGCTTCCAAGCCATCTTCAAAGATAGCCCAATGTAGAGTGTATTACAGTAGTCTATTCTGGATTTACTCAAAGTGTGGACCACCATGGCCAAGTCAGGCTTTTTGAGGTACGGTTGCAGCTGGCACACCAGTTTTAAATGTGTGAAGACCCTTCCAGTGTCAGCGCTGAGTCCAGGAGGAGCCCCAGATTGTGGACCTGTGTCCTCTGGGGGAATGTAACCCCGTTGAGCACAGGTTGCCACCCTATACCCTGATCACTGTCGTGACTGACCAAGAGGACCTCTGTCTTGCCTAGATTAAGTCTCAGCTTGTTGGACTTCATCCAGTCCATCATAGCTGTCAGGCACCAGTCCAGGATCTGGGGAGCTTCCTTGGAATTAGGTGGAAAAGAGTAGTAGAGTTGTGTGTCATCTGCGTAGAGGTGGCATTCAACTCCAAACCTCTGGATGACCTCTCCCAGTGGTTTCATGTAGATATTAAAAAGCATGGGAGAGAATAGAACCTTGTGGGACCCCACAGGTCAAAGGCCAGGGATCCGAGCAAGCATCCCCCAGCATCACCATCTGGGTATGGTCCCCCAAGAGCTCAAAGTGTGTATTCCCCTTTCTCTTTCTGCAACAAAGGTGTAATGGAGTTACCTTTTGAAAGTATTACAATAAATGCCGGCCATCTTTGGTGTAATGGTTTCGACTGCGCTTTCTTTAGTTCTTTTTAAAGAACACGTAAGCATAAGCGACTTTCCCACCCAACTTGAGCTGAACTCATTCTCTGATCAATCTTAAAGGGTTTTAAAGCTGTCAAAAAGTATTGTGCAGAAGAGTGAGCCACGGAACAAGTTAAACATGCATATTTTAAACATAACTTCCCAAGCTCTGCCAAAGCGTTAAGAAATTACACAATTCTGGTCTACCCAAATGCAAGAGAAAACAGAAGGGAAAGACCAACTATTCAATGAAAACAGAAGAATCCAAATACTTTAAACTATTATTTAGTGTATTCAACTTGAAAATCAGGAGTGGGGGAATCTATTATAGCATATCCATGAAACTGCCGAGTCAAAGGCTTTCAGTGACTGATGGTAGTGACTAACATTCCCCATTCCATTATAAATTACAATATATTGTGGAGTGACATCATTTTGGGGGTTATTTTGACTCACGGCAGCCACTTCCTCCGAAAATATTCATTTAGAAGAATTTTACAACTTGTACAAGAATATTACCTTTCTATCAGGCTGCTGTATGTGAGAAACTTTAAAGGGTTTTTTAAAAAGAAATCTGGCTCTTCATCCCATACAAATGCCATCTTTGCCACCCACACGAAACCAATGCATTATTTGGCCTTTTTAAAATCATACTATCTTAAATCAGATTTTAAAAACTTCAGCTCATGACCACAATAGATTTGGAAGGCTAAACTTTTTAGTTCATAGCTTTATATTGAAGAAACCTGTCAAGAATTACTTCTCCTATACACTTTTTTCTATTTCTTATTCTATCAAAAAGGAAAGGTTCCCCCAACCCCATGTTTTTCTGATTGTTCCGTAGCACAACTCACCTTTTAGAATCTGTCCAGTTGGCCCAATCCATAAATAGGTGGGGTCAATGACTTCATTTTGTGAAAGGGAGATATCCATGCAGACTAGAAACGGGCTATTTCTGTGCACTTTGACATAGACATTCACTGTAGAAAAGAAAGCAAAAAAAGGTATAATTATACAGAATGTCTGAACCCTATGAAAAGCAAAGGTCCCCAAATCTAGCCATGTTCCTGATATGCTGCTTTTCTGTGTAGGAGATTTAGTGATTTTTAAAAAATGGAAAATGACTCATTTTTATGGAACAAGTATTGTGAAACCATATAGCCACATATAGATTTTCTACCTCAGTAAAAACTATACCTAAAGGGAAAACAAAGTCCATCCACTTGGTGCTTTAGTTGGTTTTATCTATCTTTTTCAAACTTGGAAGTGTTATCTCTAATAATAATAATAGTAACAACAACAACAACAACAACAAAGAACTGGTGGGATCACAAGCCAGAAAAGGTTACAGAGAATGAACACGCCAAGCTACTCTGAGACTTCTGAATTCAGACAGACAAGAGTTTGGCGTACAATACTCCTGACGTCACAATCGTGTTAAAAAACAAAGTATGGATTGTTGATGTTGCAATCCCAGGTGACATCAGGATTGAAGAGAAACAACTGGAAAAGCTGACACAATATGAGGAAATCGAACTGCAAAGACTCTGGCACAAGCCAGTCAAGGTGGTCCCAGTGGGATCGGCACACTGGGTGCTGTGCCTAAAGACCTTGGCCTGCACTTAAACACAATCAGTGCTGACAAAATTACATTCTGCCAACTGCAAAAGGCCACGCTACTGGGATCTGCACACATTATTTGCTGATACATCACACAGTCCTAGACACTTGGGAAGTGTCCGACGTGTGATCCAATACAACAGCCAGCAGAGTGTCTGCTGTGGATTCATCTTGTTGTGTTAATAATGATAATAATAATAATACACATTTTTATATTCTACTTTCTCTCCCTGGAGGGCCTCATAGTGGATTACAGTATACACATATAAGGCAAACATTCACTGAACAAACAGCATACAATACACAGAGTGGTAAAGGCCTTCCCCTTCCATCTCTGGCATCTGGAGGCAATGCTCAACTCCAGCCATGGGGAGGTGCTCTTGTTCCATTTTTCTTTGCTGAGGAACCTGTTGTCCATAGACATCTCCGATCAAGTTGCTGGCATGTCTGCTTGGGGAGCCCTTTTACCTTCACACCAAGGCAGTACCTATTAATCTACTTGCATTGCATGCTTTCGAACTGCTAGGTTGGCAGAAGCTAGGGCTAACAGTCAGTTGAGCCAGAACTGTAATAGCATAGGTTTGCCTGTTATCTTGCATAAAAGGAGGTTTTTTCCATTGACAAGCACATAGAAGCTTTGGGGTTCTTCTCTGCACATAGTTTGTCTTTTAAAATAATACAGACAAGAGGCTACTGTAAAATATCTCATTCGCTTATTTGTTAATTCTGTACACATAAACGCTCTGCATTGTCTTAATGTTTGAAACAACAACAACAAAAGTTACCTTTATGGTTGGCGTTGCCATAAATGTAATTCTTTTTAATTAACTTAATAGAATGAGGTATCTTGTCCAGTCCATTTTCTGGTGCTGAGAAAACAAAAAATTGTAATAATTAGAGTGTTTGAATTGGAACATGGGAGGCTTGGGAGTCAAAGCCCTGGTTGTAGGAAGCTTGTTCCTCACTGGGTTGTGCTGATGATACTATTCACCCATCAATGCTTTCCTGTGTTTCTTGGATTAATACCTGGACAAAAAGGAATGGAAGTTTAATCCCAGCAAGAGGAAGCTATTATAGGTGGTTTTTTAAGTTCATTTAGCAGCTTTGAGAAGCTTGACTTAACCATAATACCAAAATAATGATTTAAGTAAATGTGTAAACAAATATGGGAAATAGACCATTCCTGTAACCTAAATGATCACATATTTCTGTTAGAGCACCCAGTGGCGCAGTGGGTTAAACCCCTGTCAGTGGTTCAAATCTGAGAAGAGCGGGTTGAGCTCCCTCTGTCAGCTCCAGCTCCTTTTGTAGGGACATGAGAGAAGCCTCCCACAAAGATAGTAAAACATCAAACATCCAAGTGTCCCTTGGGCAACGTCTTTGCAGATGGCCAGTTCTCTCACACTAGAAGCGACGTAGTTTCTCAAGTTGCTCCTGAAATTTAAAAAAAAACTTGTTTCTGTCATTGCTGATTTGTGAATAACGTTGGATCAAATATCCCAGCCCCTGCAAAGGAGAGAGGTATGGGTAATTCTAGTGTTCCCTTTGAAATGGGAACCAAAATCCCACATAGAAACGACTCTTCTGCTTCATGATGAAATATTGAAGGCAGTCCAGCTTCCACTTATTCTAAGTGTTTAAAACACACACGAATACTACAGCTACCTCTTCTTTCCAATAGATCTATCTTTTGATGGAGTTCTTTATTCCAGCTTTCACAACAATACACTGGAATCAGTGAACAAGTCATTTCCCATAGAAGCTTATCTGAACACCATATCAATCATCTCATTGGAGAACTACTGATAAACTTCCAAGGACAGCCTGTGGGGTTCAATAGAACATCCAAATGAAAAGAGGAATTGACTGGTTGCAGCCTCAGGAAATACAGCTGTAGTTCTGCATCTCTCCTGTTGTCTTCCCAGGTTATATCTATATCTCGATCTCAATATAAACTTTATTCCAGAGCTTAGAAATGTTACATTTTGGAGCACAACTCTATTGACCAGTTACAGGCTAGGAGCCTCTGAGAGTCGTACAATAAAGTAACAGTTCCAAATGTTGCCTTATGCAGTCAGTGTCGAATCTGGTAGAGAAAACTGCTTACTCAAATGAGTGGTTGCTGGATCATCAAAATGAACCCTGGGAAGAAAAAAACTTCAGAGATGCTGTAAACATGAATAAGGTACAATAACAATAAAGCTGTGACCAGGGATACTTTGCTTGAAGAGATGTTTCTCCCTCACCTTCACCTCATCCATCATGGGTTACCTTGAGCCAGGAACTCATTTCTAGTGTCAGGCTCAAACACAGAACATGTGAAGGAATGTATTTTTAAAATGTGTATACACACAAATGTACAACCCCATAAGTGTTTTGAGGTATTTTCTCACCCAGCAGTCTGTACCAGTGCATTTTGGCATGCCCAAAGCTACAAGACATCACTTCTGGCCAACAGTTTGGCCAATTTTTGCTAATTTTTAAAAACATATTTTGTGTTTTAGGTAGAAGTTTAAGAGGATCAGGGGATGCAAACCACTGCAGTTTGGGCTCATTTTGCATTGTTTGGGACAAAAAAAAATCACCCATAATTTCCTCCCAATAAATAAACATGGAAGCTTTGATGGATCCAGGGTCTGCATTTGAGGGTCCGAGGGCCTCCTTGAGGTTCATAGGTTCCATTTTCCTTACCTCTAGTATACATCTTTCATTACATAAATAACCACAATATATTCCCACTCAAACTTAGTGATGCTTGGTGGCAGTGGGAAAATAAATCTATTCTCAGTTTTAGAATACTGTTTAGCTGGTATTGCACCACCTGATATCCATCGGAAAGTAACAGCCAGTAATGAAAGGATCAAGACACTGACATCTCCGGCCCATCCTCTAGGTTCGGATATCAGCCAGTATTTTAAATCAAGAAATAGCTTTCTAAGATCTACAGAGATACTTGCAGGAACATCTCAGGAAGCAAGAGTCCAAAAGTAGCAAGTTAAAACCCAGAACTTCGATCAGTGGCTGAGACTGCATGCGAAACTCTCTCCTAAACACACAGAAGACTGGGCGACTTGGAAGGCGCTGAACAGACTGCGTTCTGGTACCACGAGATGCAGGTCCAACCTTAAGAAATAGGGCTACAAAGTGGAGTCCACAACATGCATGTATGTGGAGAAGAAAAAACCACAGACCACCTACTAAAATGTAACCACATGCACAATGGAGGACCTTCTTACAATGACACCAGAGGCACTCAAAGTGGCCAGCTTCTGATCAAAGGAAATTTAGTATAATGCCAAGTTTTTAACTTTGTGGTTTTTATACATTATAACTGTAATCTCAATTTGCTTCTGACACGATAGATAGATAAATAAATAAATAGTATGGACTTTAAGGCACCCAATCAAAGTGCTAAAACCCACCCCCAAAATGGATTGTATGATTTGGGGACTACACCCTTGAGCAGATTCACATCACTGACATTGGAGCCATCACCCATCATCTACATATGAATTCTTGGTTGGGAAGTCGCAGCAACATCTCAAATAACTCTAGTTTTTTAAAGAATGAAATGCCATCCTGAAGTATGTAGGGTGTGTGTGTGTGACATACCTACGAAGTGGTTGACCAAATGGTGATTACCTTCCTTGGTGTCTGTGGGAATGTGCATCATCTTGATCCCCAGAGCGAGGAGAAATTGTGGGGCAACCAACAGGAGAAAGGACAACCAACTGCTGCAACCTTGCATGGTGCAAGAGAGAGTCCATCCTTCCCACCTACTCAGGCCTGCTCAGCCCTTTGTCCATATGGAAGAGGAAAAGGGAAAGAGATGATGCCCTTCCTCTAGCCACTAAGGATTCCGATGGTCACACATTCCAACAGTCACCTCAATAGTGACCATGGCAACCTTTCCGCCACTGTGTTCTAGAGAGAGTTGGGATACTCAAGGACAGTGGTTCATGGAACCCTTTAGAAGACATTTACTTTCTGTAGAACACTAACTCTATCCCTGATTTGTTTAAGCAAAACAAATATTCTGGATCAATTTCCACAACTTCAAATATGTCTCTGAATTTTCTATACAATATCTAGATTTTGCGTAAATTTTGAGTGTGGACTCATATAACCCAGTTCAAAGCAGATAAATTGGATTATCTGATTTGATTATTTGGATGACATGGCAGTGTAGAGGGAGCCTAGGAGGCCTGTTGAGATATGAAAAACAACAGTTTGGCCCAAGGCAATCGTAATTTAAATTTAGGTGCCATATAATCCAGATCATCAAAGAAGATAATCCACATTGTGGACTCATATAACAGGATTATATGAGTCCACACTGCCATATAATCTGGTTCAAATAAGATAATGTGGATTTTATATGACAGTGTAGAAGGGGCCTGGATAGGGTGGCTATGGGGCCCCTTCTACACTGCCACATAAAATCCAGATGATCTGCTTTGAACTGGATTATATGGCAATGTGGACTCATGCTTTTATTGATGTTGTTATGGTTTTTATTATATGTTAATGTCTTTAATTGCATTTATGGTATTGTGGGCATTGAATTTTTCCCTGTAAACCTTCTTGAGTCACCTGTGGGCTGAGAAATGCGGTATACAAATACAGTAAGTAAATAGAGAGAGAGAGAGAGAGAGAGAATCCAGTTCAAAGCAGATAATGTGGATTATCTGTTTTGATAATCTAAATTATATGGCAGCGTAGAAGGGACCTAAATGGGCTTTGAACTGAGTTTGCAGCCATCGAAACAAGCTGATCACAAAGGGGAAAGTGAAAGAAGGAGAGAAAAACAGGGACATTTTAAAAAGCAACTGATAAAGTTGGATGACAGAGGATTAATTTGATCTTCTCTCCCAAATTGAAAAAGTTGGAGAGCATCCATTGATGACCCACCCCTGCCCTGTCCCTAGGTGGAGGGCAGCCTTTCAGATCTGAGAGTAATATTTCCAGAATGTAGCGCAGCCAGCATCACATTTTCTAGAAATGGGGCAGAGCACACACAAAAATTGTGGTTCGCTTGCTGTTTTTGAATGAAAACTGGCGAAAGATTACTGGAATTCTCCCTTATAATAAATGAGTAATCTCAATGGTGGCTTTCTACCTCCAAAATGTGGTTTTGCACCAGATGTGCCACCTTTCCCCGCCACCTGACGGTGCTCTGTTCCCTTGCAATACAGAACGATTTCCTGTCCCTGTCAAGCACTGGATTTGTGATATTGGTCATGCAAGCTAACAACTCCTTCTTGAAGCAGAAGAGAGGCTGGCTGGGAATCTTCATTCTTTCTGAAGTCCAGAAGAATCCCAGGACCCTACAGAGAAGCATCGGAATAACCTGCTGCACTTAACAAAATGGAAGGTGAGAGATGTTTACTTAGTTGTATTTTAGCAAAACCTTTTAAATGCAAAAATAGTATTTTTAGTTCACTACCAATCAGCTTCTGAAGTTGAATTTTCTTTCAAAGGTTTTTCCTCTCTCTATGGCTGGATCTACATTGCTGTGTTATGCACTTTGAACTCCATTATATGGTCAGTGTAGACCAGGCATGAGCAAACTTTGGCCCTCCAGGTGTTTTGGACTTCAACTCTGACAATTCCTAACAGCCAATAGGCTGTTAGGAATTGTCGGAGTTGAAGTCCAAAACACCTGGAGGGCCAAAGTTTGCCCATGTCTGGTGTAGACCCATATTATGCAATTCAAACAATATTATATGGGTCTACATTGATTGTGTGATGTAGTTCAAACTGTATTACTTGGCAGTGTAGATCCAACCTACTTCTTACTCTATACACACGTTTGTGCATGTATTACATTTCGCTGGGACTGAATTTTGAAAGCACAGTCAGGCCTAAAATCCATTTGTTCTGCACGAGCAATTAGGAAATCCATTATTTTCTCAGACCTTTCTAAATATATTTAGGACTAGCCGCCCCCTGCCACATGTTGCTGTGGCCCAGTCTGGTGATCTGGAAAATAAAGTAATGAGAAAGTGTTGGTTTCTAATATATGTAATTTCTTTATGCTTGTGGGTAAACAGTATTTCTTGCTGTTTCTTTGTCAGTGTTGATGTGGAGATTGTCTGGTTTGCCTACTCTGATACATGCAACATATAATTGTCCTTCTTTAGGGGTCCCTTTCAAATTTATGATACTATATCTGTGTGTGTGTGAATCATATCTATCTATATCTATGGCTGGATGGCTCTTTGTCAGGAGGTCTTTGATTATGTTTTCTTGACCTGGTAAAGGGGGTTGGACTGGATGGCCTTCAGTATTTTCTGATGGTCATGGGGGTTCTGTGTGGGAAGTTTGGCCCAATTCTGTTGTTTGGTGGGATTCAGAATGCTCTTTAATTGTAGGTGAACTATACATCCCTGTAACTACAACTCCCAAATGTCAAGGTTTATTCCCCCCAAACTCAATCTGTGTTCATATTTGGGCATATGGAATATTCGTGCCAAGTTTGGTCCAGATCCATCATTGTTTGAGTCCACAGTGCTCTCTGGATGTAGGTGAACTACAACTCCCAAACTCAAGGTCAATGCCCATCAAACTTTCTAGTGTTTTCTGTTGGTCATGGGAGTCCTGTATGCCACGTTTAGTTCAATTCCATCGTTGGTGGAGTTCAGAATGCTCTTTGATTGTAGTTTAACTATAAATCCCAGTAACTACAACTCCCAAGTGACAAAATCATTTTTTTGAGTGATGGTCACTCCTTGGGTTAGTAGGTGTCTTGGGGCCAAATTTAGTGGCAATTCGTCCAGTGGTTTTTGGGTTACGCTAATCCCACAAATGAACATTACATTTTTATTTATATAAACTAGCTGCCCCCTGCCACATGTTGCTGTGGCCCAGTCTGTGTATATGTGTTTTGTGTGTGTATATATTTGTGTATATATGTGGTTTTGCACATGTGTTGCAATGTATTTTTTATTTTTTGGCTTTTAAAGTCTCTTCCGCTGTGTTTTTATGAGTGATGGTCACTCGTTGGCCTGATACTTGTATTGTGTCCAAATATGATGTCAATTTGCCCAGTGGTTTTGAGTTATGTTAATCCCACAAACGAACATTACATTTTTATTTATATAGATTTTCTTCCTTGGCTACAGCGCATAAATGTCTTAAGATTTTGCGAGAACACTGGAAAATATGTTGTACAAAACCATGAATTCCCACCTGAAATATTCCCATTAGAATGACAACTTATTACATTCCAAACTTTTAGAGAAATCCCTGGATTCTAAAACATTTCTAGATTCTGGAGGCAATATTTTAAAAGACATCAAAACATTGAGAAGACAAAATATAATCTGTTTCTGAAAATTGTGTAAGACTCAAGAATTTTGCATTTGCAACATAGGCACTGGCTCAAATTTAGGGGCTACTTTCTCCTGTTCATATATATATATATATATATATATATATATATATATATATATATGAGTAATCAGTTTCTCTATGTACATGGAGATACACATGCATATTTACAGAGGGAATGTATACAAACATTGAGAAAAGCATGCCTTCCGTAGATCAAGCCTTTGAAATAGTGGATGAATTGTTTTGAAATTGTTTGAAAGCCTTCGACAATACAGTGGATGAATTGTTTTGAGACCCAATTGAGCTTGCAATCCTGTGAAAACGTCTGAGCTCTGCCCTTCTTTCTAATATTTATATCTGAACATCGACTTTTCGTACAGTAAATATTTACAATTCTCCAAATTTCTTTTCCTGGTTTAAAATACATGTATACTCTGCAGAATGTGATTGGCGTGGTAATAGGTATATCATAATATATCATAAGAAAGAGGGTTGCTTATATTGTCGAAGGCTTTCATGGCCGGAATCACTGGGTTGTTGTAGGTTTTTCGAGCTGTATGGCCATGTTCTAGAAGCATTCTCTCCTGACGTTTCACCTACATCTATGGCAGGAATCCTCAGAGGTTGTGACATATACATATATCACAACCTCTAAGGATGCCTGCCATAGATGCAGGTGAAATGTCAGGAGAGAATGCTTCTAGAACATGGCCATGCAGCCCAAAAAAACCTGCAACAGCCCAAGGTTGCTTGTTTTTCAAAGGTTAATCTGGTGGTTTACAATTAACTTGGTGTTCTTGAGAACTCCTTGCCAAGATAGGTACCAGAGATAGAAAATCAGTATGATAGTTATCTATCATCAGGCCAATTTCTGTGAATTGTATAGTTCTGAGGTCCCAAAGAACACTTTGTTCACCAAAATGGGTAGATATTACTCACATCTATACTTGAGTATAAGCTGACCCAAATGTGGTGTAAAATGTCATTAATTGAGGTATCAGTAGGTTAAATGTTTTTGAATATTTACATAAAACTGTAACTTAAGATAAGACTGTCCAACTTTGATTAAACTATTATTTTAACCTTCTTCAATGTAAGTGTATTTACGTATCTTTCCAATAAGAATAAGGTAAATATAAAGATTTCCCCTTGGCATTAAGTCTAGTCGTGTCCAGCTGTGGCGGGTGGTGTTCATCTCCCTTTCTAAGCTGAAGAGCTGGCGTTGTCCATAGACACCTCCTAAGTCATGTGGCCAGCAAGACTCTGCCAGGGGGCCCTTCCAATAATAATAAAGAGAGTAAAGTAATAAATGTAATAATAATAATAATAATAATAATAATAGATTAAAATAATTGGAATGTAATAATAACAGTAATAATAGAGTAAAATAATAACTGTAATAATAATAATAATAACGGTAAAAATAATACAAGTAATAATACAAATAGAGTTAAATTATACATGTAATAAAAATAATAATAGAGTAAAATAATGTTAATGTAATAATAATAAATAGAGTAAAATAATAAATGTAATAATAATAATAATAATAACTGTGTAAAATGATAAATAACTTTGACTCCAGTATAAGTCAAGGGGGGCTTTTTCAGCCTTTAAAAAGTGCTGAAAAACTCGGCTTATACTCGAGTATATACGGTAACTTAGCCCAGTGTAATGACTTGAAATGTTGATTATAATCTTCTAAGAGATGGCTTTTATTTCTCACCCACCTTAAGTAGATTTAATCTATATAATGTGTGAAAAATGACAGCAATTGTATCTGGTATCTTTCTCAAAAGCTTTAAGTAATACAGTACAATCCGACATTTGCAGGGATGCATTCCTAGACTTTGGATGGATGCACAAAATTGGATAATAGTGAACTCTGTTGGAATGAAGGTCATTTATCACCAAATAATACCATAGACTTGTGCTGGAGGATGTCGAAAATAACAAGAGAGGATATAGTTTATTGGATGTGGATAAAGGGAAACCACAGATACCAGCCCCATGGATTCAGAGTTTGTACTGTAGTTACTTTCTTCATGTCAGTGTTGTGTTTATTTAAAAGGAGAACTTGGAAAGTTTTTTTTAAGGACAAATATGATGACCTGATGAAGCCATCCATATCTGAGCATTGCTTGAATAATGGGTCTGATGTCCAGCTTTTGCTTAGAGGTAAATCCTATTGAAATGTGTGGGGTATTTCTTTAAGGCTGGAACTAAACTGCCAAAGAATCCAGTTTCCGATCCCATTCTCTGTTTTGAAGTGGGTTATATGGCAGTGTAGACTCATACAATCCAGTTCATATCAGATAATCTGGAATCAGATCCTGGATTATATGGCAGTGTGTATCTAGCCTGAGTCAACATGATTAGGATGAATTCTGGAATCCACCCTGAGTTCCCTCGGGGAGATAGGTTGGAATACAAATAAAGTGCTGGTCTTAACCTTTAAAGCCCTAAATCAGTGGTTCTCAACCTGTGGGTCCCCAGGTGTTTTGGCCTACAACTCCCAGAAATCCCAGTCAGTTTACCAGCTGTTAGGATTTCTGGGAGTTGAAGGCCAAAAACATCTGGGGACCCCAGGTTGAGAACCACTGCCCTAAATGGTTCTGGCCCAGACTACCTGTCCGAACGTATCTCCTGGTACGAACCATCATGAGACTTAAGATCATCTGGAGAGGCCCTGCTCTCGACTCTACCGACATCACAAGCGTGATTGGTGGGGAGGAGGGACAGGGCCTTCTCAGCAGTGGCCCCCCGCCTGCGGAACGCTCTCCCCAGAGACATCAGAATGGACACCTCCCTCCTGTCTTTTAGAAGGAAAATTAAGACTTGGTTATGGTATGGGACCAGGGGTTCAACCAGTAAGAACAGCAATTGTGAAAAGAAGACAGGCAACTTGTGACAATGAACTGACCCAGACTTGGATTTGGCTATTAACAATTGTTTTAATTAACTGTTTTAATGTTTTAATGTATTGCTTGATTGTTTTATGATGGTGATGGTGATGGCACCTTATGGTGCTTGTTGTGA